GTAGCCACTCGTTACCCAGGTGGTTGAGCCCCTGAGCCTTGAGTGGCCTTCTGGTCTTAAGCAGAGATGGGAGACTGGAACAGAAAGATGATAATCGTAGTGAGGCAAGCCGAGGTCAGTGGGAAGGAGAAGCAGCAAAGTCAAAAACAGTCCAAATTCAGCAACAGGAAGGAGAAACAGGAACACGCTGGATTAGAGAGTACAGGAACCACAATAATCTGGCAAAGGTACAGAGACAGGAAGTGGCTTTTATAGGCCAAGAACCAGACACCTGACCAGACACAGCTGAAGTGAGTTGTCACTGATAACCTTGACTCTACAAGCAATAGTATCAGATCTCAGGTAAATTTGCAAAAGGCAGGCTGGTGTACTGGTAAGGAAAAGGTTTAGCACCATGTAAACCAGGGTTCGAAACCCAGCAGAGTCAGTTCCTCACACCCTGCCTCTACAGCTGAGATCATCAAGCTTGATGATCTCAGCCAATCCGCACTGACACAGTAAGCACCTCTAGTGACCGTCTGAGTGTCTGTCACTAGGAAGCAATGTAAACACTGCCTTTTCTATAAAAAGTCAGTGTTTACATTGAAAAGCCTGCAGGAGCAGACTATAGACACCAGAGTCACTACATTAAGCTGTGTGTGACCTTATGTATATCAGTGAGATTGTTTGTCTATGAGGTATCAATTTATATATATATATATCATCTAGGGTGGCAAGCCACCAAGTGCTAAGTCGAAGGGGTCGAATACTTATTTCATTCATTGACATGCAAATCAATTTATTACTATTTTGACATGCGTTTTTCTTGGATTTTTTTTTATTCTGTATCTCACTGTTAAAATACACCTACCATTAAAATTATAGACTGATCATTTATTTGTCAGTGAATAAACTTTGAAAATCAGCAGGGTATCAAATACTTTTTTCCCTTACTGTAGTTCACAGAGCTACATGATTTGTTCAATGTAAAATAGAGACAATTTACTCATCATACCTTGTTCCAGAGCTGCCATTTCCTCAGCGTCATGGGAGCTACTCTGAATGTAACAGCCATCTCTGGTGTGTCCTATGCTCCTCCTGCTGCCTTTTTTGATGAGCCTTGCTTAGGATCACTTTCCTAAGCAAGGCAAATATCCTCAGAGACGCCAACATTCCGGCCTTTTTGGCAGCATTCTGGCATCTGAAAAGAGTTCCTAAACACTATAGCCAGCACAAGCAACGCCGGCTAGGGAGCTTCCATAGCCACTATAGCGCATGTGCTCTGGCTGCTATGCTTGGAAGAGAAGACCCGCCTTTTTTTTTTTTTTTCTACACTCTGTTGTCAGTTAAATTGCATTTTGACTGAGAAGTGGGAGAAAAACCTATTTTTAAATGTTTTTCTCCCAATCTATGCATTTGTTAGCAAAATTGTTAGCACAATGTATAGATAGAACCTAATGCTCTTTCAAAAGAGAATAAGTGGGAAAAAAAACAAAAACAAGTACAGGTATCCTTTACAGGGTTATTCACTAAAGTGAGAATTCAAGGGGAATTCAAAGTAAATTTCCAATTTGAGGTCAGAATAATTGAACTTGAAATATTCTCTAAATCAGTTATGCTTTCAGATCAGCTACTCTGGCTTCAAATTTGAAATTCACCTTGAACTATTTTAATGCTGGATCTAAAAAGAAACTGTAATTTCTGTGTAAAATATTCCATTGAATAAGGCATAGAAATCCCCCGTAATTAAGTTTGACATTTTATGATATCATCTGCATTCATTTAGATTTATAATAAATGTTCAAGAAGTTACATCTAATCCAGTTCAGACAAGGCAAAACCAGGACAAACATTGCAGATGAGGTATTAAAATGAAAGCATTGTTTAATTTCTCCTCTTCCTTGCATGCTTACTTGTTGGTGATTGCCAGGTGTAAATGACAATATTTATAACAAGGGTGCCCAGAAGGTAGATCCCCAGATATTTTAAAACTACAGCTTCCATGATGCTTTGTCATTCTAAAGGCATGCAAAGCATCATGGGAGTTGTTGTTCTACAACATCTGTGGATATACCTTTTGGGAACCCCTGATTTAGAATAATATCTGACTAGGGAACTAAGATGCAGGTACCCAGTTTCAGGATAATGAGGTATAGATTTACCCATTTTATTTTTACATGTTGCAAATACATATTAGTAAAATATAGAGATTTGCAAACATAATATTAACATTTTTGGGAAATGAAAGTTCTCCTTTTTAATAAAGATAGTGGTAATGGTGATATCAGTTTGGCAAGACCGAGATTAATAAAGAAAAAAGCATTCCTTATATTAGAAAACTATAGCTGCGTAAAACCAAAAATTAATTTCTCAATAAATAATTAGTCTAGCAAAGATTTATGTGACCTTGTCATTTCACCTTCAAAGGACTGTCACAAAAAAAGGAATTGTAATTGAAAAAAAGAAAATCTAATAAATTGGACAGTACCAATTTATTCTTGTAATAAAACTAGAATGGCCTAAAGTTAATTGAGCAAACAGGGATTCATTCTAAGGTACAAAATTAATACCTTTTTACTGGAAGTCTGTTGCTTGAACACATTTAGCGTACTTTTATTATGTTCTTCAATCCTAGGTTTGGACAGAATTATTATATATTGACTTGCTCTAAGTATGTTATGTAATATAAGAAAATGGCCAAACCTTGCATGGGAGCCTTGAGAGTTTTAAGACATGAATTTAAACATAGTAATTTAGGATTAAATGTATAACTGGTGATTTATATCTGCAGGGGCACAGGTTACATTTTGTGAGTTTTATTCAAGTATGAAACAGTTGAGGTATTTGGTTATCAGACAGCCAAGTACACCTTTATAAAGCCTTCATGACTGTACTTATTATGCGTAAAATAAAAATCAAACAAATAAAAAGCCCGATAGAAGTGCAACTGGTCGCCTCCTTCTTAGCTCCCTGTCCATTATTGTTATAAACCCTTTCCTTTGCACCTGGCAGGTAGCATGTATAAAACATACAGAGGAGAGGATAAACTAAATGTTTCTGTTTCCCTTCCTCATTTGCCCTGGATTTGCCTTGTCTGAACTGTATTATAATAAAATTTGCTAAAACTTTAATATAAATTTAAATGATAACAGAACATCCTATGAAGCAAAGTCATTGGTTCCTGCCCTTTGGAAAGAGGTGCCTGCTCCCACTATGGAACAGTGGATGGCACAAATTGAGGAGATTCGGTCCTTCAAGGCAATGCAGGTAGCTATTATTGGACAAAGCGCTAAGCTCACAGAGATGTGGTATGCCTGGTTCAAGTTTCTAGCGAAAGTCGAACCGCAGAAAATGGCGAATCCTGTGTCCTGACCTGGAGAGGGAAGTGATTGCATATACCTCATCTTTTCTCTTTACTTGTAATCTCTTCCACTTTCTCCCTGCCCTGGTGATCACATGATACTATATTTTTGCTAAATAGTGGATTATGTATTACATCACTTGAGAGAGTCTGGTAGCATGACTGGAGAAGGAATGATTCTTTAGAGGAGACTTATCTTATCATAACTGTTAACCCTACAGACAAGATTAACTTGCAGTGTATGCACATATCATAGATTCAGACCACATATAATCCATAATGTAGATTGCCAGACACTCGACCTTGACATGGCAGACATTCATAGACTGTTCTGGGGTGGGAGAGGGGAAGTGGGCCAAGGAAAAAACAAAACAATATATATATATATATATATATATATATATATCTAAATATATACAAAGTACCAAAAGACAGGTAGCTACAATGCAAGAAGAGAAAAACATAGGGCAATTGTAACAGATTGCCTGGCACCCCGACTGGGTACCTCCGTTGAAGGATGCTCCTAGCGCTTCCTGAGGACTCCAAGCACTCTGGCAGACACCACAATCACCGAACCGGAGAAACAAATAAATTCTCCCAAGCATATGAATGCTGTAGACAGTTGAATAGGAACCATACGAATAGGTTTACTCTCCTAGCAGTCAAACTGGAACAGCATACAATAAATCCTTCCCCAATAATGAGACGACACTTCACTTTGAGGGTTAAAACAGGAACTCTTGTGCTGGCACACCCAGCCTGGTTTTTATTACAGCCTTTCACATACAGGACCGCCCACAGGGAGGTATAAAACAACCAATCACATATCAGTTACATCCCACATATTCCCTCCCCTTATCCTGAGAGGAAACTCAATTACACATACAGTTAAAACATACTTTCTACCCAACTTTCATAACTTTAAAACCATACATCACATTCACATAAAATTACATATTCACAATCAATCCATTCAGGGGAACAACATATTAAAAAATGGCATGAATCCGACCAGGAGTTCAAAAGTTAGTAAAACTATCTTTTGGGCCCTGGCTGGCACATGGTTATCTGGCTCAAACAGGTTTTACAGAACCCTCTATCCTGGAGACAATGGGGAAAAGTAATCCAATTATCCAGGGATAGAGGCAGACTCCATTGAGCACATGGTTGCAAAAAGACATAAAACACTTTAAAATACATAAAGTCACCTTTTACACATAACACACAGACATTTCACATATCCCCAGATAGCTGGGATCTGAGCGCACAAAACTACCGAATAGCGCTCAGATCCTATTCACACAGTTCAATTGCCATGGAGCCGAAGTCTTTAATTACACGAATGGGCTCCATGGCATAGCTATCTGGGTTAACACATTCACATAAAGTCTGGTCCATAGTCCAAAGGCAAGAGGCAGGCAAGCAGCCCCCTCCAAGGACACGTGGCAAGGCCGGTTTCGCCACATTTCTCCCCTTTACCATCCAGACTAACAGGGTATCTGACCTCCTGCCGGTCAGTGTCCTGGTTAGTCCAGCAACCCACCCACGAAGCACAAACAGCAATACAGCCCACCCACAATAACTGGTTACTTCACCTGGATAAAACAGCAACTTGTCCATGTCCAGGTGCCTCACCACGGCTGTGCAGGGGGCTGGTAGACTGCCTTGGTGGGTTGCTGAGAGGGCAGAGACCAGCGGTACTCTGCCCGGGTGCCAGCGCTACCACTGAAGTAGCCTGGTTGGAGCCTGGTTGTGGGAGGGGGAGACCGACTGTCTCCCCTCTGGATACACTGCTCTGTGGCTGGGGGACAGGACCAACCGTCCCTACCCCTGGTGTTGCAAGTGCAGAGACTACGGTCCCATCTGCATAGTTGTGGGGCTTAACATCTCCCCTTGGTGGGTTAGGCTGCCGCTGGAGAGAGGGTGTAACAAGCTCCTCTCTCTGAACTGTAGACTGCCGCTGGGGAGAGGGGGTAACCTGCTCCTCTCCCTGACACTCTCTTTGCTGGTGGAGAGGGGGACCAACTGTCTCCCCTTTCAATATTTTGTCCTGCGGCTGGGGTGCGAGACAGACGGTCTCTGCTTCCTGGGGTACACACTGCCGCTGGGGAGGAAGGATGGCACCTTCTGCTCCCTGGGGTACACACTGCCGCTGGGGAGGAAGGACGACACCTTTGGCTCCCTGGGATACACACTGCCGCTGGGGAGGAAGGACGGCACCTTCAGCTCCCTGGGGTACACACTGCCGCTGGGGAGGAAGGACGACACCTTCAGCTCCCTGGGATACACACTGCCGCTGGGGAGGAAGGACGGCACCTTCAGCTCCCTGGGATACACACTGCCGCTGGGGAGGAAGGACAGCACCTTCTGCTCCCTGGGGTACACACTGCCGCTGGGGAGGAAGGACAACACCTTCCGCTCCCTGGGACACACACTGCCGCTGGGGAGGAAGGTAGACACCTTTGGCTCCCTGGGACTCACACTGCGGCTGGGGAGGAAGGACAACACCTTCTGCTCCCTGGGGTACACACTGCCGCTGGGGAGGAAGGACGACATCTTCAGCTCCCTGGGGTACACCTTTGAGTCCCCGTAACACACTCTGCCACCAGATAGGGCGGCCGATACCTCTGGATGGATCTGCCATGAACTGCAGGTACTCTGCTGTTAATTTCCTCACGAACTGTACGTATTCCTCAGCGGGGTTGGGTCCAAAGAAAGCCAACTGCATGGCAACCTCTCTGTCAAACCGCTCCTGAGTGTAGCCAGGCACCATGCTTGCTCTTCCGCCGTTGGTTCCTTTGTAGATAGGGGCGCTGTACGGATACTAGCGTTGCCCTCACTTTGTAACTCCAAACAAACTGTGTCTCTGAGCTGCTTTACCTCGCACTAGGACGCCATCCCACCACTGCCACCAATGTAACGGATCGCCTGGCACCCCGACTGGGTACCTCCGTTGAAGGATGCTCCTAGCGCTTCCTGAGGACTCCAAACACTCTGGCAGACACCACAATCACCAAACCGGAGAAACAAATAAATTCTCCCAAGCACATGAATGCTGTAGACAGTTGAATAGGAACCATACGAATAGGTTTACTCTCCTAGAAGTCAAACTGGAACAGCATACAATAAATCCTTCCCCCAATAATGAGACGACACTTCACTTTGAGGGTTAAAACAGGAACTCTTGTGCTGGCACACCCAGCCTGGTTTTTTATTACAGTCTTTCACATACAGGACCACCCACAGGGAGGTATAAAACAACCAATCACATATCAGTTACATCCCATATATTCCCTCCCCTTATCCTGAGGGGAAACTCAATTACACATACAGTTAAAACATACTTTCTACCCAACTTTCATAACTTTAAAACCATACATCACATTCACATAAAATTACATATTCACAATCAATCCATTCAGGGGAACAACATATTACAAAATGGCATGAATCCAACCAGGGGTTCAAAAGTTAGTAAAAGTATCTTTTGGGCCCTGGCTGGCACATGGCTATCTGGCTCAAACAGGTTTTAAAGAGCCCTCTATCCTGGAGACAATGGGGAAAAGTAATCCAATTTTCCAGCGATAGAGGCAGACTCCATTGAGCACATGGTTGCAAAAACATAAAACACTTTAAAATACATAAAGTCACCTTTTACACATAACACACAGACATTTCACATATCCCCAGATAGCTGGGATATGAGCGCACAAAACTACCGAATAGCGCTCAGATCCTATTCACACAGTTCAATTGCCATGGAGCCGAAGTCTTTAACTGCACGAATGGGCTCCATGGCATAGCTATCTGGGTTAACACATTCACATAAAGTCTGGTCCATAGTCCAAAGGCAAGAGGCGGGCAAGCAGCCTCCTCCAAGGACACGTGGCGAGGCCGGTTTCGCCACAGCAATATTGACGTATCTAAAACAGTATTAAAATGGGTAAAATGCACACTCACAAACCCAAATTGATTGAAGTCGTATCAAATAATTTGAAGAATATCCTCATATTCGGATTTCAGCATATAGGAGAGGAAATAAGAAATAATAGTGCAGAGTTTCTAAAACAGTGTAAATCTTTAATAAATATTGCAAGATAGAAGTATTAAATAGGCCCATCACAAATAGACATTTCTGGCAGCAAACAGGAACACCTTCATAAATGATGTAAACTGATGGGATCCTTAAGCAGCATCAAAAATTGCAAATGAAATAAAATCAAAAGTAAAGTAAAAGTAACTCTAAACACTAAAATACAAGCCCTACGCATTTCTTTGAGAAAACTGAACTTCCTCAGGGGTAAACAATCACAACAAGTCTCCCAATGTACATCTAGTCGGTACAAGTCCATGGAACATTTAAATACAATTAACGTTTCCCGCGGATTGACGCCCACCTATCGGAGAGTAGGGCTTGTATTTTAGGGGTCAGCAAGGAACAGGAAGGTAAAGTAAGAGAAGGAGCAGAAAGGAGAAGGAACAGAAATGAGCAGGAAGGGACATCAAGGAGCAGAAAAGGGCAGCAAGGAGCTGGGAGGGACAGCAAGGAACAAAAAGGTATATTAGAAAGAGCACAAAGGAACAGAAATAAGCAGGATGGGGCAGCAAGGAGCAGGAAGGGGCAGCAAGAAGCAGGAAGGGGCAGCAAGTAGCAGGAAGGGGCAGCAAGGAGCACGAAGGGTCAGCAAAGAGCAGGAAGGGTCAGCAAGGAGAAGGAAGCGTCAGCAAGGAGAAGGAATGGTAAAGGTAAAGGTAAAGCAGCACAAAGGTAAAGTAGAAGGAGCAGAAAGGCGCAGAAAAGGTCAGCATGGAGCTGGAAAGGGTCAGCAATGATCTGGAAGGGGCAGAAGGAGCACAAATGTAAAGTAGGAGAAGGAGCAGAAATTAGCAGGAAGGGTCAGCAAGGAGCAGGAAGGGTCTGCAAGAAGCAAGAAGGGTCTCCAAGGAGAAGGAAGGGTCTGCAAAGAGCAGAAAGAGACAGAAGGAGCACAAAGGTAAAGGAGCAGAAAGAATCAGAAGGAGCACAAAGGTAAAATAGGAGAAGGAGCAGAAAAGATTAGCAAGGAGCACAAAGATAAAGTAGGAGATGGAGCAGAAAGGGATCAGAAAGAGAAAGGAGCAGAAGGGTGCAAAATAAGCAGAAAGGTAAAGGAGCCAAGGAGGAGAGAAGACAATGTCAGAAGAAAAAGAAGACTGTGTCAAATGAAGGAGAAGAAAAGTAGATTGGAGCAGAAAGGACATGTGAAGTGAACCATCCACTTTATTCTGGACACCACATCATAAGGCTTTGGTACCTGGGCCTGGCAGGGAAACTTTGGACCTTCTCATCTCCCTGGGTTAAAAAAATATCAGTGTTAATATGTTCACTTTTATTTACTGAGTGTCAGGAAGCACAGAGTGCCACTGGGTAGGGGTGTGGTTGATTGGCTAGAGGGGTCAGCTGGCACTCTAAGCCAATCAGTAGCTTCCCATTCATAAAAAAGTAAAACATTTTTATGAACCAGGACCTTGCGATTGGCTTAGAGCGTCAACTGAGCACTCTAACCAATCTGCAGCACCCATGCCGGACGTCAATCTGCACTTCTTGACACTCTGTCACAGAAGTCGAAAACCACTTAGCGACCTGGAGATCTGGAGCTGGAGGGGTTAAACCATTTGAGAGCGGGGGGCTTCCTGGCATCATAGCATTTTCACTTAGATGAAGTTGTTATGGTAACTAGAATGTTCCTTTAATTTTCTTAAAGGCACACTATAGTGTCAGGAATACAAACATGTATTCCTGACACCATAGTTATGAAAACGCAATTCACTCTGGCTTTATGTGATAATGACTATACCCCTTCCCTTTCATGACACTGTCAAAAAGGGACCAAGCATGGATGCCATTACAATTATGCCCCATCCACCCGCCCCCCGGAAAAATTCCTGCGGACGCCCATGGTAACACCTACAAGTTTGAAGATCCCTACATTAAAAACACCCTTTTATAGCAGTCATGGAACTCGATTCACACAAGATAAAATTCTTACTAACTCCTCACCCCAAGTATCCCAGACTTATTCAGCATACCCTGCCCACAAAGTCATGTAATATGCAATATGGAAGCTAGTTGTCGGTATATATTACCTGTGGGCCCTGACTGGCATCATTGCAAGGACAGGTCTGAAACTGGAATGATATGAAGCTGTGAGTCTCACAAATATTTTAATTAAGGTTTATTGGCTGTTATTTACAGTTGTCCTATTGAAGTATCTTGCGAGATCCACTTTGATAAAATGTTATGAAGGCCTGCAAGTCTCATTTATCCTCTTTACTCTTTGTTAAACACAAGATATAGGTGACGTTTTATGTTTATGCAGATTATTATGTCATCATACTTGGTAGTTATATTTTGTTTAATGAATATTACACTATATGCAATGATCCTTAAATGGACACTATAGGCACCCAGACCACTTCAGCTCATTGAAATAGTCTGGGTGCAGCGTCCCTGCACCCTCAACCCTGAGCAGGTAATTATTGCAGTTTTTAATAAACTGTAATAATTACCTTCCAGGGTTAACTCCTCTTCTAGTGGCTTTCTACCAGACAGCCACTAGAGGGGTTTGCGGGTGCTTAGGTGACTTTTGGTCGTCTAACTGACGCTGGAAGTCCTCACGTAATACATGAGGACTTCCAGCATCACCGAAGTTCCCCATAGGAAAGCAATGTACAGTTGCAAGAAAAAGTATGTGAACCCTTTGAAATGATATGGATTTCTGCACAAATTGGTCATAAAATGTGATCTGATCATCATCTAAGTCACAACAATAGACAATCACAGTCTGCTTAAACCAATAACACACAAAGAATGAAATGTTGCCATGTTTTTATTGAACACACCATGTAAACATTCACAGTGCA